ACGGGGCTCGGCGTGGACGCGCAGGCCCCGCGTGGAGCGCGCCCGAGCAGGGACACTGAGTCGGCAGCCGGATGGCCAAAGTGACCAGGAGGAGCGCTGGGCCCAGAGTTCAACTCGGGCAAAGGGCTCCGAGCTGGACGCTGCGGCGCCCTCGGGACGCGCGCTCAGTTCGAGGAGGCGCCGCCAGGCCACGCCCGGCAGCCCGCGGGGGGACGAAGCCCGGCTCCGAGCGAGGGTCTGCGGGGCGCGCTGCCAGGCCCCTCCCTCCTCACCGCGTCTCTGTCCACCTGTCACATCGCCGCCCCCCCCCACCGTGCGCAGCCCGCGGCTCCAGGCGGATTTCCCGGGGCGCGGCCCTTGCTGGGGGCGCCCTGTGAGCTGCGGGAGCCGAGGTGCCAGCGGCGCGCGCGTCTTTCCCTGTCCTGTCCGGGCACCGGGCGGGGGCGAGCGCTGCGGGGGGCTGGGGGAGCTGTCGGGCTGGAAGAGGAGGCCCAAGACCACAGCCCCCCGCTGCCGTCTCCCGGCGGGCTGCAAGGGCGGGGTTCGCCCGCGGCCGGCGTGGGTGCTGCGGGCACTGTGGGTGCCGTGGGTGCTGTGGGCGCCGTGGGTGCCGTGGGCGCCGTGGGTGCTGCGGGTGCCGTGGGTGCTGCGGGCACTGTGAGTGCCGTGGGTGCTGTGGGCACTGCGGGTGCCGTGGGTGCTGTGGGTGCCGTGGGCGCTGTGGGTGCTGCGGGCACTGCGGGTGCTGTGGGTGCTGTGGGTGCCGTGGGTGCTGCGGGTGCTGTGGGTGCTGTGGGCGCCGTGGGTGCTGTGGGTGCCGTGGGCGCTGTGGGTGCTGTGGGTGCTGTGGGTGCCGTGGGCGCTGTGGGTGCTGTGGGTGCCGTGGGCGCCGTGGGTGCTGCGGGCACTGCGGGTGCTGTGGGTGCTGTGGGTGCCGTGGGTGCTGCGGGTGCCGTGGGCGCTTTGGGTGCTGCGGGCACTGTGGGTGCTGCGGGCACTGCGGGTGCCATGGGTGCCGTGGGTGCTGTGGGTGCCGTGGGTGCTGCGGGTGCCGTGGGTGCTGCGGGTGCCGTGGGTGCTGCGGGCACTGTGGGTGCTGCCGGTGCCGCACCCGCAACAGCGTTAGGCCCACGGGCGGTGCGAACACGCGCTCTGGGGCTCTGCTCGTCTGGACCGAGGTCTTCATTTTATCTTCGAAGTAAGTCCTTGAACGTGAATGGTCATGGAAAATTGACTCTGGTATAATTGCACATAATCCCCCAACTTCATCCAAAAACAATTCCTGGCAGCGGAGAGCTGTCATATCCAATTGTGCTTCTTCCTAGCAACAACCTTGGGGGGGGGGAGGCAATTTCATCTGCCTGGTCTTCAGGCGGAGCAGAAGTCCGGTTGGGCTCTGGTAATTAAGTTCCCGCGTCAAGAGCAAGAACATGCCCGTGAAATGTGCACTGAACCCAAATGGAAAAGTTAATTCAAAATAAAAGGCAGTGATTACCATGTGTTTATTAATGAGATAAATATTTAATAAAATATCTCTGTTTTCGCCTTTCTGTTTAAAACCTGGCAATTTAAAAGGCTTTTTTGGATACCACAGCACATTAAGGACTTGAGTCGATAATTGGATTAAAGGGCTCCAAGCCCCTGCCCCAGGGGCCGTGGCCCCCTGAGTGCTGCAGGCAGCCAAGTGACAGGACCCTCAGCACAGCCCCTGCGGCCTGTCGGGGACCAGGGCTGACCTGGACCATAGGGTCCTATGGTGGCGATGTCACAAGTGGCTCTGGGAAATCAGAGCGTGAGGATGTTGGGGTAACATCAGCTCGTAACTGGGAGTTTGAAAACATCCAGGTTTGGGCACGCTTTCCCTCACCCACTCGCCCCTCTGCTGGCGCTGCCCTTGCTCCAGCCCTCCAGCCCTCAGGGCACTGGGAGTCACTCGCTGGGAAGCAGCCTGCCCAGAGGTCCTTGGAAGGGCCCTGGCCCCCCCAGGGAGACAGCCCCCTCCTCATTTAAGCCCCTGCACACCTTTCTGTCTCTTGCTCCTGGGCCGCGGCTTTCTCTCTCTCCAGGAGGCACCATAGCCCATTAGAAAGGATCTAGGTTCGCTGGGGTGGGAGTTTGGAGCATCCAGGTGACCTGAAAGATCTGTAAAGGTGGGGTCCGGTGGTTGGGGAGAGCTCAGGTGGGGAGCTGGCTGAGGTGAGATCAGGTGGGAGGGAGCAGGTGCCTGGACCAACACTCGGGAGAAGCTTCAGGGCGACAGAGCAAGGAAGGGCCCAGGGTGGTGCTTCTTCCCGGAGATGCCAGAACACGCCTGAAGGCTCGTGGCGAGAGAGCAAGCAGGACCAGAGGACACACGACAGCTGCTGTTCACGGAAGCAAGGGCGCTTCTTGATGGCAGAAGAGCAGGCCCAGACGAGGGTGCCCCCAACGCTGGGGACAGGAGGTGGTCTCCCCTCAGAGGAGGAGGAGGGATCCGAAGCTGAATGTGCTCAAGCAGAGAAGGAAAACCTGCATGGCCAGAACATGGCTGCCGGGGGCGGGGGTGCGTGGTGAGCATGGCAGTGAGCAGGCGGGAGTGCTAAGGGACTGAGAAAGCAGGAAAGCAGGAAATGCTGACTTGGGAGACCAGGGAAGGTAAGGTAGGGGGGCGCCGAGAGGGAGTTGGCGGCTGATTTTGGGGCTGGAGCTCGGTGCACCGCTGCCTGGTACAGGCCTGGGCTGAGAGGGCCGAGGGCTCCATGCTTGGCCAGGTGGGAAGGCAGGTGGGACAGGGGGTGGCCCGGCGAGCCCAGGAGACCAAGCTGATGGAAACAGACGGAAAGCGCCATTTCCGGGACGGTGCTGCTCAAAGGGCCGTGATGAAGCACCCAGAGACTAGCTACAGCGCGAGGCCCGTCCCGCCCCTCGATCTGGGGGGACAGAGGGAGAAATGGTGCCACCAGGGCCCGGCAAGTGTGTGGGACAGGCTCCCCCACCTGCGGCGGTAACCACAGGGGCCAGCAGAACTGCAGGGCGAGATTCTCCTGCCCTCTGCTGCTCCCGAGGGCTCTGTCCCCACTGTCCATCCACCCCGGGGCGAGGGGCCCAGGAGTGTGGTCCCCAGAGGCAGGCCCTAGGGCCCCAGAGAGGCAAGAGCAGCCCGAGCGCGCGGGTCAGGGGGTGGGGCCCGTCGGGGAGAGGAGCCCCAGCTGATACAAGGGGGCCACTCGAGGTCAGGAACCGGTGTCACTCTTCTCCCCCCACGAAGCCTCACATGGGCGACCTCATGGACACCCCGCCGGCCTGGACCCGACCCGCTGCCAGGGGACTGTCCCCGCCGCCTCAGGCTGCAGCGGTGACTTGGAAGGTAAACCTGCCCAGGCACACGGCCCCGAAGCCCCAGCTGCTCTGAGGCCCCCAGCTCACGCGCAAATCACGGCTTGAAAGTATTTCTGGAAAACACCTTAACGTGGAAAGAGGGGCTGGGTGAGCCGAACCGGAGGGAGGGCGGGCAGCCGGGGTCCACGGCCGAGGACAAGGTCATGCACGTGATGGACCGTCCACGAGGTCCTGGAACTGTGGAGAATGATCTCTACAGAAGATACAGCAAGAGGAACAGCACACCTTGGGGTGCTAATTGGAAATGCAAACTTGCTACATATTAACACCTCAACTGTGGGGGCGGGAGAAAAACATAGGCAAAAGAGAAAAAACCCACAAAACTGAGATTAGGTGACCGTTTTCCTTTTTTTCTATCTTACTATATGTTTCAAGTCTCTAATAATGACTGATTCATCTCATGACGAGAGAAATGATCATAACTGTATTCTAAAAATAAGTCCATAAGGAACAAGTGGGAGCTGGAAGTGATGACGCATTTCGCCTCCGCAGAATTTGACCAGGGCACTGAGGCTTCAGTTACAACGCTCTGCCTCATGCATGAGCGCTTGGTGTAGACATTTAGGACTCCAATACCTTGTAGCTCCAAGGATATCCCAACATGTAACATGAAGTGAAAAATCCAGAAGAGTGGAACTGGCCACCAGGTGAGCGTCCTTGGTCATGAGCCTTTGTGGACAAGGCCACTGGTTATTTAGTCATGGCCTCATAATGATGAGGATGAGATGAGGGAACCAAGGATGAGAACTGTTGGGGCCTCATTCCAGAAGAATCTGGAAGAATCTGGGCTGCTTTAAGAGCACACCAGAGCCTGGGGGCTTTTAAACAACAGAACCTGATTTCTCGCCCTCCTGGAGGCTGAAGCCCAAGGTCAAGGCAGCCACGGTTCCGTGGGTGCTGGACAAGGGTGCGTGTCCTCGTCTTAGGGGCACCTTCTCGCGACCTCACTCGGTGGAGGACACCAACCCCATTCTTGAGGCTCTGGTCTCATGACCTAGGCACCTCCCAAAGGCTCCACCTCCACATAGCATGTCACAGGGGTTCCCTTTCAACCCTCGATTCCGAAGGCAGCACCCTCAGCTGGAAACACGAAACTCCGCTCTCTCCTAAGAAGCGCTGAACCAGTCTGGGTTGAGCAGCAGGAAGGAGGCGCTTCCTGACTTCAGCCTCTACAGGTTAGGAAGCACCCCCACTCCATGGGCCAATGCAATTCGCTTTGTTTGCCCCCCCAATCTCAGGTGTGCAGTGGCTCAGGCCTCTCTTCACTTTGGCTGGGGCAGAATCCGAGCCTCTGTCAGGGCGTCCTGCGTTCTCGTAAATCGTCCGGTGCTGCGTACATTAAAGCGAGTGTGACTTTCCACTAATACAGCCGCTGTTCGAAGGCACACAGCTCCATCTGGAAGGGCTTATCTAGGCAGTTGTAATGGATCACTCAGAAATTTAATCATTGTAAAAACAAAATGAGACAAAGCTTTAATGCGTCTCCCACATGCTTGACAAGAGCGCCCCTCATTCTGTCGGTTATTTTCTGTATCAGTTTTAAACAGTAAGCATTTTGAGGACTTCCAGAAAATTCCATTTGTACAGTCTCCAAACTAGCACTTGGGGAACCCCTGATCTTCAGCTTTCCAGAAGCGGTATCGTAGCTAGCGAGGTTTATCCAGGCGTGGTTATTGCTGATTGAAAATTTTTCCTGACGCCCTGCCCGACGACTCGAAATACAGTCAGCTCCGGCAGTTTTAGACAGTCTCTACGGAGACTGAGAATAAAGAAGATTCTCGACTTCTTGCTCTGAGCACGGCCTCACTCCAGAGTCACAGCGAGCCTGCGGGTGCTGCCTGCTCCATGCACTGTGCATGTGAGAGTTTGTCCTGGAGAACTGCCCATGTGGAAGGTATTACCCCCATTTTATGAATGAGGAGGCTGGAATTTAGAGATGTCAAATAACCAAATGCTCCCCAGCCCGTTAGTAACGTGAACCCAGGTTGACCCCTCACACCCCCAACACCACCCTGCATCCAGCCTTCATGCACTGAGTGGGGTACCCACTTTGCGTGTTTCCTTGGGGAACTGTTATCCTTTCTCCTCTTCCCTCTCTCTACACACTCTTCAATTAAAGTTCTTTCATGCTGTTTGCTTTGTCTTTGTGTGCATGGATGGCCAGACCCCATTAGAAAGTACAAGTTTGGGGGTTCTGAGGTACCCCTCTGTCTGCCCACTAACACAAGCGTGCAATCCGACTCCCCTGGGGGGATAGAGGGGCTGAGGCCAACCATGCTGGTCTCCCATGCTGAGTTTTCTCTGGTGTTTCATTCCCTACCCACTGGCGCTACACAAATGAAGGATCTTAAATACAAATAAAATAATTACACATATTATACTTGACAATGAAACTAACGAGTTTGGTATCGCTTCATAAATATACTTCATCAAAATCTTAAGCATTATTCTTATTTACTAAAATTATTGATAACCACAGAATTCATGCTTCATCGTGCCAGTTTGATGGAGCCCCGTCAAAGGTTATATTTTTCTGAATGTGACTGACCTTGCAGACCGCTTGAGAGTGTCGATCTCCTGCCCTGAATGTATAAAATTAATAGATCTTAGGGGGGAAGAGTTATTCATATCTATTTCGGATGATGCAGGAAAATCTCCAGTTGAATAGAAAGTCCAAAAGGCAGACGTTGGGTTAAGAGCAAAACACACAAAACACGCTCGAAACATTCAGATGCCAAGTCAAATAGCATCTGCCAGTTGTATGTTCATTTAATTTATCTTGAGGAGAGATGAGTTTAAAACTAAATGGAGTGGGGGTGGGGAGAAGCAATTGAAGAAAATCAACCTATCAACAGGCACCTACAAATATTAAAGCACGTTATTCAGTAGCGACACTGAGTGAGGCCATATTCACTTCTGAAGTTCTTACCATCCCCAGAAAGGAAATCTTCCTCCTTAATTCATACTCTGTTGCCTGACTTTGCCCAAGCTGCTGACTTATTCTGCTGATCAGACAGGCAGAGCAAGACACTTATCTCTGCTTGGGCGCTGAGGAGTAAAAGACATCTCAGGAGCAGCTCAACTTTCTAATTTTTTTTTTTTTAAAGATTGATTTATTTATTTATACAAGCACTGGGCACAGTCAGAAGCGCGGGAGGGTGAGAGAATTCACCAGAGCCAGAGCAGGGAGCAGAGCAGGCAGAAGGACCGAAGGACACTGCTGAGGGGAGCAGCGGGCGGCAGGAGAGGTCTGCGTGCCATGCGGGACCCTCCTCCGGTGGCCGGGGAGCAGCCGGGGATCGAACCGGCGCTGCAGAGGCCGCAGGCAGCTTCGCAACCCAGCGCTCAACCGCTGCGCCACCGGGGAGGCCCTCAACTTTCTAATTTTTAAAAAACAAAGGGGCAAAAGAGAGGGGAAGAGAAGCAACAGTGCTTAATCCGCCACTAACGAATGCTAATGTGCACAAATGGGTTTTGAAAGAACACAAATATTGCTTTGAAATTAATTATCCCTCTCCCATTGTCTTCAAAAATGGAAGATTGAAACCTGTATGGCGATGTTTACTATGTTTAATTTTCAATTGTTTCTTTGATGTTTCAGATAGAAAGGTTTGCACCTGCAAAGAAAAAAGGCTCTGAACACATCCCCACACTCTGCAAACACTTCATCAGGAATGTTCTTCGTCAGCCCCCAGCACAAGGGAGCCTTGATGATATCTTGTGTGCCTTTGACTCCTTTTGATTAATAAATGCAAACAATTTTTCTCCGTAACCTCTGTTGCAATCTATGCATGACAATTAGGGACAACCTCTGGTGAAGGGGTGACTGGAGTCTGTTTTCGCTGCCTCTGCTGCAAAATAAATAGTTGACGTTTAATGCTTTTTGACAATTAGAGAATGAAATCGCTGCAGCTATGCAATTTCAGCAACTGTTTATTATTTCTGTTCCCTGCAATGAAGGATCAATGTTTATGACAATTTTAACTCCAGTCTGGATGGACAATTTGATTATTTCTTTCCCTGAGTTTCATGTCCTATTATTGAATTCTTGGGTGCAAATATGATTGGCTTTTCACAAAATGGATTTGCGATGTTTCCATCAAAATAATCTACTGGATGGACATTATAAGGAAGCCAAGTGTGACTCTCACGGAGTGTTCTGCTCTCTTCCAGGGTAGAGACCGTTGCTGAAACTTGAGGCGGTCAAGCTCGGTCCTGATCTAAGTCCCGTCCATTGAGGACTGGTGGGCAATACAGGATGTGTCCCTGTTGGGGGGCCCGGGGCGGGTCCCCCCTGCTGGATTGCAGCCCTTAGACTTTTAAAAATGTGGTCCTGGTGGTCTTTTCCTGTTCCTGCTTATCTTGCAAGAACAGCAGGGTGGGCTTGCAAGAGTGAGCAATGGACAAAGCCCCTGCCCATTTGACCGTGTTAAATGAGACTGTTCCTGAGTGGACAGTTGTGTTTCGGAGCCCTGGCCCAGAAGAACAGTCGCCGTCCTGGATGTGATTCCCTTGGCCCAGGCAGAGATGGCCATGGGGGGCGGGAGAAGATGCCCGGCTCCCTCAGAGGCCAGGGGGTTCAGTGCTGTTGCAGCTCTGGACCCAATTCCAGTTCCACCAAGATGCAGCAGAAAACAGACTCTGCCAACTTGAACTTCTTAATATATTTTCCCCTCAAACCACCCTCACCTCAAAACCAGTATAACCCACTTTCCCTGTACTGGGGAAGCAGACCTGAGTCTTCTTGCTCCTGCTTCCTCCCTTGCCGGCCTGCAATGAGCTCTCCCTGCTCAGAGCCCTGACATCCAGCTCCAGCCTCCGCGGGGCCTCCCTGCGGGCCTGCGAGTTCGTGTTCCGCTGGAAGAAGCCTCTGCAAAGCACGGGCTGGCGAGGACAGGCCGTGGGGCAGACGGCTCTGGAGGCGCCACCCGGGGGAGTGGGGGGTAGGGCATGACAGCAGACTGAGCCCCGGCAGCACGTTCACAGCTGTGGCTGTCTGCATGCACCCCAAGAGGTGGCAGCACGCTGAGGAGCCCGGTACAGAGAAAGGAGCCCAAGCTGTGGAGACTCACAAACTTGGGTTTCCACGCAGGGGGCTGCTGTGTGACGTGCCCTCCTGGGACACCCTGTGGCTTCTGCCAGTCACCCACGCACCTTCCCCACGGGGCCTTCCATCCAGTTCGGCAACACATGCCCCAGGCCTCCCAGGAACAAGCCACCCCGCCCCGAGAGCCTATTTCTTACTTGTCTTCGTGAGCTTGGGTCTCTCAAGTGGCCTCAAATAACTCTTAAAAATAGATGGGGTTCATCATCAACAAGCGTCATGATCTGGGCTGACACGTGGATCGCGCGTCCCACGACAAGGACCCAGTGTTGGAGAAAACCAAGACGGAAGAGAGAAGAGCGTCAACTTTAGGCTATTGCTTGGAGTTGGATGACTTGAGAGGGAACGTTCCCAAATGTGACGCTCACTGAGGTTACGTGGCACGACTGTCACCGGATGTAACACTTGCGTCCCCGCAGGCTTGGGCGCGGCAGGAGCTCCGCCTGCGGGGAAACTGTGGGAAGACTGCACGCTCCTCACGCTCCAGCTGATGCACCCCACCCTCCACCCCTGCGCCCGACCCGCTGACCTGCGGAACCCGGAGGCCACGTGGCTCTGCACGTGGGGACCCCCCTGTCTGGGCCCTGGTGGGATCAGGTGCAGCAGCTCCCAGATGGCAGTTCTGGAAGGGCTTGTGGGAGTCAGGCTCAGGGATGCACCCTGTCTCCCCTAGCCCTGCCTCCCCCAGCCCTGCCTCCCCCCTGCACTGCCTCCCCCCTGCACCGCCTCCCCCTGCCCTGCCTCCCCCCTGCACTGCCTCCCCCCTGCCCTGCCTCCCTGCTGCACTGGTGGGGAGACCTGCCTGCACCTAACATGGAGGTGCTGGCATGAACCACCTCCTTGTGTCCTCAGGACAACCCCAGGGGCTATGACTGTCTCGCAGAGGCTGAGAGGCTCCAGGTCACCGAGGGGTAGTGTGAGGGGACCCCTGGAAGCTTGGGCCTCCCCGCCAGGCACCTGGCTGGTAGAGGTGTTGTCTTAAAGACGCAGACAGCCCCGCCAGCGAGGACGGCCGCAGAGACGAGCCCCATCACCGGTTTTATTGCCTATTTACAAATTCCAATGTAGCGAAAAATAATATTGAATGCAGAGCAATAGACGCAAATACCTTTAGAGAAGAGAGATGATTAAGAAGCAAGGGTGAAAAGGGCTGGGTTATTTAAAAGAAAAATTGTTAGCTGGGAAGGAAGTCTCCTGGCTGGAGAGCGAGGGCGTCAGCTCTCCGGCGAGGGGAGGCCGCGCGGCTTTCCGCCAGCGTCGATGTGGGACACGCTCGTCGGAGCAGGGTCTGCGGTCATTACGGATGGAGCCGCCGTCAGCTCCTCGTGTGAACTTGTTATCGGAGTATTTTATAGTCCACCTGACCGAAAAGAACAACTGGACTGTGAAATGATAGAGCAAATAAAAAAAGCCGTAAAAGAGGCAGAGTGATAGTAATGGGAGATTTTAAGTACCCGAGCACAGAGCAGAGTGCATTAAGTGGGTGAAATAAAGCCTGAAGTGGTGTGGAAGAGGCTTTGGGGAGGGGAGGGGGGGGTGGGGGGTGGCAGGCGGGAGGGGCTCTCTCCAGGGGCCGTGGAGCTGGGCAGGAGCACCGGCAGGCGACACCCAAATCCGCTTAGAACAGCCACAGCTCAGGCTGCCCGGGGTGGCTG